GCACATGCATTCACGCAAATGCACACACGCAAACGCGCACGCCCACACTCACGTACACACGCACGCTGACACGCACATGCATACACGTGCGGACGATCACGCAAACACATGCACACACGCAAACACACATGCACACGATCACGCAGACGCACAAACGCACACATTCAAACGCACATACATGCACCCACATGCACACCAAGCCCAGCTCTCACACAGTCACACAGTCACACACACAAACATGCACACGATCAGGCACGCACACATACGCACGCACACAATCACATGCATACGCACACAAACACGTAGACACACGCACATGCACATTATCACACGCGCGCACACACTGACACGCACATACGCACACGGTCACACACACGATCACATGCACAGACGCGCACACGCACACGATCCCACACTGACATGCAAATGCACGGGACACGCACACGATCACCCCAGGGTCCTGGCTGGGGTGCTCGGCAGCAGGGGTGAGCAGCGCCCTTCTTCCAGGTGCTCGGGGGTCTGGCCAGCGCCTGGAGCAGCCCCCCCTTTGCCTCCTGACACAAAGGCATCTGCTCAATCAGAATTAAACATCAAATTTATTGCATAATACTGTACTATGTACACACACGTTGAAAATAAACATTTGAGAGAATTGTATATTTGTCTGCAATGCTGCATTAGAAAGAGGCTGGAGGGCTCTCGGTGTAGCCCACAGCTTGTCTTAAAAAAAAACCCAGAAGCCTAAAACCTTTTGTTACGAGGTGCAAGGTTCAATACTGTGTATTGAACGTGGTGCATAAATACTGTGTCCTAATAACAAGTCAATGTCAAAACCACCTTAGGCTTCAAATGAGATTTACATCAAGACCTGAAAAAATGGGAGGAGTAATTAAAACTTCATTTACAGGGGCAGGGTGGCTGGGGGAAAGAGGATAAAGGCTCTCCAATCTCACCAGACAGCTTTAGGTAATGATTTTTGCCTCCTCAGTTCCTAATGTGCATTTCCAGTCTAATTTCTACAGCTTGTCCTTTAGGGCGCGCCAGCAAAACCGTTATCAAGTGAAGGGTTCCTCTCAAACAGCAAAAGAAGTGACCCTAACTGCAAAAATAAAACCAGTCTCCAAACAGGGGGTTATGGCTCCAGCGTGGATCTCGTGCGTATTTCCTTTCCTCTGACCTGGTGAGACTGGAGAGCTTGTAAACACGTCAGACACTCACACACGCAGGCACGTGCTCACATTCACACCCCCATGACCCCTCTGGAGAAAGGTGCCAGTGGTAACAGCAGCCACCTCACCTTGTGTTGGAATAACAGGTCTGTTCAGATGGAAAACAGGGCTCGCCAAAGCCCACCCATCTAACTTGTGGACTTGCCAAGACAGAAACACAACACAGGAGAGATGCAATTTGAGAAACCCGTGATTATAGGCAGGGTTTGTCCTTCCACAAGCTTGAACACAAACCCCACTCCAGAGGAGTTTGAGGCTTCTCTAAGAAGACATTGCTTGGAAACAGAATATGAGACAAGTGAGAAAAAAACAAGCCACGACACCAACCCATCATATTCTCCATGAGACATCCTGGTGCAAAAAAGACAGAGCATCACTAATACACCACGCTGGGGGTCACAACTGACGTCCCAGCCCAGTACCATTCACCAAGGGCCAAAGGGCAGAGGGGATATTTCCAGTCAAAGCAAGCAAGAACCAGCTTGCATTTAAAAAGGGGGGGGAAAGGCGGGGACGGGGGGGGAAATCACAGCTTTTCAAAAAGGAGATCACTATTTCATCCTCAACTTTCTTCACAGCCTACATGGAAGGAACATCCAAATATTTAAACTGGATTAAAAGGAGAGGTAAGTGTGTGTGTGTGCAGGGGCAATAAAAGCAAACTACAAGGAATTGCTGGGAGGGCAGTGGTGCCAAGTTGGAAACAACAAAAACGCCCACTGAACTGATTTTGTTCAGTAGATGAGAAAATTCAAAGCAATAGCCTCTCCCTGCTGAAGCCCCACAAAACGCTGGCAGCATCAGGCTGAGACTGCATCATCTCAATCTATTATTATTATTAATTATATTTTCCCCCAAAATGTTTTGATCCATTCCCTTACAAAAATAAAGCCAAACCCGTCGTGTTCCTCCTCCGTACCCAAGTGTCTGTGCCTCTCCCACGCTGGTCAAGCTAAGCTAAAGCCCTCGTAGTGATCGATGGCTTGCACCAGCCGGGCACTGAGGATCTCCTTGCTGCTGTACTTGGGCAGGTCCAGGAGATTGTAGCAGGTATGGGCCACGGGCAGGTACTGCTCCCCGCTGGCGGTGGACTGGATGACGATGCGCAGGCTGGACATGCCGTAGATGGGAATGCGGTCGCTGCCCGTCAGAAACACTAGGAGAAGCAGAGGGAAGGGTGGGCAGTCAGGGCAGGCGACCTCACGCCAAGGGCTGCACCTGAAGGCAAACTCCATCCCCACCTGCATGGCAGTACCCCACCTGGAGGGGCCAAAACACTGACTGAACTCCGTGCAGGGCATGGCTGGCCTCACAGGGGAGGTGCAGGAGAGCAGAGACGAGAAGCAAGGCCATTCCTGGGTGCACAGGTGAGTAAATAAATCATTCCACGACCCCCTTCCCTTAAAAGCTCCCTCTTAACGGGGGAGTTACCCACAAAAGCCTCTGCTGGGAACTGGGACCCCTGGGACCCTCTGTACACAGCTGCTAACTTCAGCGTGCAAGTTTCTGGCCAAGTCATTTTTTCCAGCTCCAACATGCAGGACAACTAGCTGACTGCTCGTGTCTTTTGGGCAAAAAAGGTCACATAAAAACACTGGCTTTCATCTTTCCAGCAGCCACAGAATCACAGAGTGGCTGAGGTTGAAGGGACTTCTGGAAGTCCTCTGCTCAAGCAGGCCCACCTAGAGCTGGCTGACCAGGACTATGTCTAGCTGTTGAGTGTCTGCAAGGTTGAAGACTCCACAACCTCTGGACAACTGTGCCAGTGCTCAGTCACCCTCACAGGGAAACTGATGTTCAGAAGGAACTTGCTGTGTTTCAGGTTGTGCCTGTTCCCTCCAGCCCCTTCACTGGGCACCACTGAAAAAAGCCTAGCTCTGTCCTCAAGTATTTACACACAGTGATGAAGTCCCTTGTGAGCCTTCTCTTCTCCAGGCTGAACAGTCCCAGCTCTCACAGCCCTTCCTCATAAGAGATGTTCCAGTCCCCCAGCCATCTCAGCAGCCCTTCGCTGAGTCTCTCCAGTATGTCCGTGTCTCTCTTGTACTCTGGGGAGATCAGAACTGGTCCCAGCACTCCTTGTGTGGCCTCACCAGTGTTGAGTAGAAGGGAAAGATCACTTTCTTCAATCTGCTGACAACACTTCTCCTAATGCAGCCCAGGCTACCATTTGCCATCTCTGCAGCAGGAGCGCATTGTTGGTTCATGATCAACTTAGTGCCCACCAGGACTCCCAAGGGAGCAAAAGTTATTGGCTGTAGCAACAAACTCAGAACTACTTGCCCTTAAAACCTTGTATTTCTCCTTGTCTCCCCTTTTGTCCCCAGATAAAGTGACCCCCACACAGCAGCTCAGATCTGTGGGTGGCTGGGACACTTGAAGCAACACATATGGGCACTTCCCAAGGCCACTGCTGCAAGGCATTTTCTCTCCTCAGCACACCACCCACCATACTAGCACAAGGAGACCACCACCAGGAGGGGAGGTATCTGCTACCCAGCCACACCAATATGTGGTCTCATTTGCCTGCCACATTATACACTATCTATCTTCTCCGCTCAGCTGCCACCCTACAACTGCCCTGTTGCCCCCCAAAAAGTGCTGCAGTGCCTGAAAGCTCAGCTTGCACAGGAAGGAATGAGATGAAGTATGGGCACTGGGGATTGCTATGAATTCACCCCCTGGGAACACGATCAATGGATACTGCACTGCCTTGTGAGAGGCTGCACTGGAACTTGCACTGCACACACCACCCAGGGACTTTGAGGGTAAAAATGAACCCGAAAAACAAAAGAGAGGGAGAAAACAGATTATCTGACTAGCAGATAACTCAGGAGACAGCCATTCATGCTGGATCATCTTCTAGCACTTAATGCAATGTGTCATACCCATGGAGCTCTGCAGACACTCCCACCCGATTCTTCAATCTCAGGAGACATTCTGCACCACTTAAGATACTTACAGAGAAATTTCTTCTTCTTTTCCAAGGGAAATGCATGAAAGGTTTCCCAAAACATTCTCACGGTTGGGTGTGTCGCAGTGTAGTCTCCCTTATAGACTGCACTCTGGTAAAAACCAAGAAGTCACATCATTTCATCTGGCACTAGAAAGCAAAGACTAAGCAGAACCCAGACCTGATCTCTCCTGGTATCTGACATTAGATCAACATCTGACAGTTACAAAATGGAGCTCAGGACGGGCCATGGGTAATAGCGTGGCTCAAAGACCCAGCAAAGGGTTCTCCTCCAGCAATACGTGGAAGGCAGGCACTAGGCTTCTAGCCATTCAGCTAATTACACGTGTCATACGGAATCCTGGAGGACCTGTTCGCAGGCCAGACCCATGAACAGGATCGTATGTTCTGCATCGCAAAGTCACTCACTGCTCAGGCTGAGACAGAGCAAGTAACTTCCCAGTCTGTGCATTCTGAGGGGATGCAACACTTCCTTTGCACCCAGACTCCCCTTTGAACCTTTGGCTGCGTATTTTTTGCCCTTGTGCAGTGCTGTAGGTGAAGACCCTGACTTTGTCCCTTCCCTTCAGTCTTAGGTCTCGTCCCTAAAAACAGCAGATGGAAGTCCTTCTCCCCTATCCATTTTCATCCTGAGTTTCCTCCCTGAGCTTTATGAGTAGCAGGACAGCCCAGTAAGAAACTTTTCATGTGAATGATGGTGGTGTACAAGGAGCATTAAAAAAAAAAATCTGTGGCTTATCACATCTCACGTACCAGGCTTGTGCCCACCTCACACAACTATGCAATCCTGGTACCAGAAATATAAAGAAAAATAAAAGAGGGAAGCTTTACCTCCTCCAATTCCTCCCAGTTGTAGTTACTGTTTCCAACTATCATGGCTCTGAGCTCTGTGGGCTGGAAGAGTTCCAGGACTTTCCCACCACACACTTTCAGGAAGCCAGTGGAAAAGGCCGTGTACCACTCATGGATGGAGAGGTTGAAGATGTAATTTATGTAGGCTTCAACAAATTCTTCCCTAGTGCATCGAGAGAGAGAAGGCAAAGGAAAGCACTTTTAATCATATGCCTGAAGAGCAGCACTGCTAAGTTTTCCTGTTTCTGCCTGTGATGCGTCTTGCAAACATGAGTCTCCAACAGGTTCAACCCACTGCCCTCCTCTCACTGAGCTAAGCCACTGCAACATGGACAAAGTATTAGGCAGCAAGTACCACCACGTGTCTGCTTACTCCCCGGCAGTGTCAGCATAGGAGGGCCCCCAGCAGCCCAGGCTCTACTACCAGCAAATCCACCCAGTGGCCTTGCTTCCAGTTGCCCACGGGGCCAGGAGGGAGCCAGAGGGACATCAAGCACTGGGGAGGCATCAGGAACAGAGCCCTCTTCCCTGTGGAACCTGTGGCCTGCACAGAGGATGTGTTAAGCAAGTATCAGGATTCAGTCACCAGAGGAACACGTCTACCTCCTGGCCCAGCTCCTGCAACCCTACATTTCGAAGTCCAGAAAATAACCTACAGCTCTTCTCAGGCTGCAGGTGTCCGGGGTTACTCAGCACAGGGCTCTGTGCCCACCTGCAGTGACCTCGGACTGCCAGGTTGCTGTCAGCAAGTGCTCTGCTGAGGAGAGGGAACAGACAACATTTAGAAGACTACCACTTCCAAAAACAAGAGCCTCCCAGAGCCCTAGTTAGGTGAATTTTCAGAGGCAGCTCCTGCTGACTCAGTCCCCAATTGCATAAAAAAACCCCCAAAAAAACACCACCACCCCCCCCCCCCAAAAAAAAAAAAAACAACTAACAAAAAAAAAAAACCCCACCACCAAGAAACATCCCTCACTACAGAGCACGAAAATAGTCTTAGAAAGCACGGAAACCTCCTCTTCAGCCTTCACACTGGTTAAATAAATACAGGCCTTGTGCATTTGGAGTACATGGCAAAGACAGTGACTCCTCACAGAATGATAACTCTGTTTTGCTTCAAGGGTTCCCAAGAACAGCATTAAAATAAAAACAGCATTCTGTAGTCATTGGCAAGAAACTTGTGGCAGGCCCTGGCCAAACCCTGTCTCTGGATTTTGTTTGTTAGGAGGTTAAGTACCTTTATTCTACTCTTTCTTTCCTATTCTCAGACCACCATGATCTGAGTGCAATGCTATAATTTTATTTGTGCAATGACTTAAAATATTGCCCCAGAATTATTTTTTTTCCTCCACACTGGACCATAATGCACCAGCCAACGTGGCAAACTGGGACACGAAACTGTTCTCTGTGGGTGGAGGTGTCGTTTTTGCCCGACATTCGAGAGCAGCTCACGCCTGCGCTCAGAGGATAAGCAGATCAGGGATCACCATGGAATCCTATCTCTTGATCTCTAGCTGAGGAGGTCACAACCAAAAGAAATATTTTGACCTTTTGGTGGAGGAATTCTCAATGCATATGGTATGTAAAAGCAGCAAGGAATGAGTGAGAAAGTAAAAAAGGAAAATAAGGAAGCAGACTGACAAATATGAAACCTTGGAATAAGAAATCATAGCAAAGGGCGAGTTATTTTCCAGAGCATTTGTTTTATTGTCATTTTCCTGATAGTCACCTGAGCATTAGGGAAATCCAAGCCAATTAAGCACTTAACTGTTGCTTAATACCTCTCTGACTGTTACGGTAATGAACCCTCCACCAAGAACATTTTATGTTGTGACATCCAATATTAACTCCAAAGGAGAAAGGGAAAATGCAGGCATTTGCTACTTGACATTTTTCAGTCAAAGCATCCTGTGCATTCTTCAGTTCCCAGTGAACTTTCCTCAAGCAGGAAGGGCAGTGCCCAAAGACATGCACGCAGCAAACTCTTGAGGCCAGGTGGGTGGCAAATTGGTCCATACCTCTAAATGAAGGGGTGGAGGAAGTCATTAAGCACTGCAAGGTGGATGAATTGACAGCCGTGTCTAGACCTGGATTTAGAGGTTAGCTTGAGTTCAAAATTCTGGTCAAGACGAAGCAATTGCATTTTGGAATGTGTCAAGCCAGTGCAGCCACAGACTAGCCCTTCTCCTTCAGGATTTGCTTCTCTTGTTGCCTATCCTGTGTTAACAGACAGTTGCAGGAGCTAATTTGGGTGCTCTTCCCAAACACTTGCTCAGCTAACATCTTTGTTCCTCCTTCCAGGCCAATACAGCACACAGTAGAAAAACAGACGGTTTTGAGTGTACGTGTCCAGTCTAAAAACCTAAAAGGCACTATCAGTGGCATTCTCATCTTTACTTCACTGTTGCAAGTGTAGCTTAAGCTCTCCTCTATTTACCTGAAGCCCATCTTCTCTTTTCAGGAAGACAGATTTACACTGCTCCATCTCCATGTGGGTTTTGCATGGAGGCAGCTGTAAAATTGCACCTTTTTGGGCAGCAGTAAAGTAGGTAAGAAGGCAATACAAAGCCTTTGTTACAGCAATGGCTTTAGACACGGTCAGAACCCTTTTACATAATCGGATTAATAGGAAATGACTTCATCTCCAGGCTTGCCAGTAAGGTCTTCAGCAATCCTAGCACAAGCCCCTAACCATGCTGCTGACTAGTCACTGGATCACACTGTTGTGCCAGCAGAGAAAGAATTCAAACAGGGCTTCAAGTAACAAAGGCATTTGCAGAAATCCAATTACAGGATTATGAGAAGAAAATAGTTTAGTAGTTGGAAAAAAAGGGCAGGGGAGGGGGGAAATGGTAGCTGTACTGGTAGTAACTCATAGGTGTTCAGTCAAACAGAAAGGAATCTATGTACAGTAGGGCCTTATGGGTCCAAACAGGGATAGTGGGTCTCCATCAGGCGTACTCAAGTGTTTCTGTCTCCAGAACTAAGAGTATGAACAAGTTTGCCAGGCTCAGTTTTGTTGGTCACTTACAGTTCTTCTCTAAAGCACTAGGGAGATTAACCTCCAAGGGCCAAAACATGTTGCAATCACTATTCACCGTGAGAAAGCTGCCAAGGGTCTATAAGAAGGCCTTTTGTAGGAGAGATGTCCATCCAAAAGGCTGTGGGACATTTTCCAAAGATTGCTGGAAAGACGATGAAAACTTGCTTTTTATTCAAGTGCCACTGACATCCAGGAACTTTTGAATAGCTGGTCTTAGAATTTGTTCACAGTGACTTCTAATTCTCTCACACATTTCACTTCAGCCAAATTTTCTGTGGCATTGCACCTGACTTCACCACAAGTATGAGTTCACCCCCACATATCCCCCACTTACCTATTGTCCTTCTGCACCAGAATTTTATCTCCATCTTCAACCAGGTTCTTCTGCTCTGTCACACCATAGCTTTCCCTGCATATCTACACAAAACCAGAAACTTAATTTTAGCAGAAGTACTTTTTAGGCCACATACCCACAGAAAGATACAGGGTTCTCTTTTGCAGCTGATGACTGGTATGTGAAGGTGAGCCAGAGGAAATAGTATCTACAGAACGTTTTTTCTCTGCTCCAAATGCCCTGCATGCTTCAATCATTCACATTTGCTGTAGGACTGCTATTAAGTCTAAATGCAAACTCAGAAAGGAAGAAAGTTATTATTTTAGGTAAATTTCCTGCAGAAAAAAAACCCAAGAGATTGATAACTTAAAACCTGTATTTAACTAAGCCCACGTGCTCTGGTAATAAAAAGGGCTCCCTTTTTTTATAATAGGAGTTCAGTAGGTTAATTCATCTGCTCTCATTGCAAGATGGCATGACCACAGGTAGCTTCCTACTTTTGCCTGGCCTAGGATGGCACCACTACAAACACAGATTCTGTACAGACAAAATTGGTCACGTGGAGAAAATGCAAAAGGGTCAGTGTTCAAGTCGCCATGCACAAAAGAGGTTCAGATTTTGACACGCAGGATAAGTTATTCATTTCAATGTTTGGGATATCATTCATTTACTCATTTAAAAGTTTTAACAGATGTATCTCTAAGTCTTTATATATTATGCAGCATATAGTGCAAGAAAGAGAGAGTAAGAATGTCCTTTTGTGTGAAAGGAGAATTTGGAGAAAGACCTCGAGTTACTTCAAAGGTATTCTTTTTTACGTAGTCCGCGTTATCATCATTATGATTTCGTTACCTCATCCTGAATTGCAGCTCTGACCTGCGTAAGACACAGTCAGACCCAGGTCTGACTCACTCCAGAGGTATGTTTGACCTCAGAGACTTTATGTGCTGTCATTTATGAAATAAGGAAATGGACAACACTCTCCTAGCTCAGCAAAGATTTTCTTCAGAGTCAGCAGCAGAGTTTTTACCCCAGGCAGGCCCTGAACAGATTGTCAAGAACCCAGATCAAGCTCAAGATGAACCCATCACTCACAACCTGTCAGAGCATCAGGACATCAAAGCAAAGACATTGAAACATGGAAGCCTTTACCTTGCCTGAGTCAACAGAGCAAAACATAGCTTGGAGAATAATGATGCCGTATGTCTTTGTGAGGTTCTAAATGTTTGCAGATGATGAGGGACATACTTGATATTCCAATGTCTACCAAGATTGAACTCTTAATTTCAGGGAATTACTGCCATAGTAGCACAGCAAAGCTGACTACCTCAGTGTGTCTCCTAGCAATTGCTTCCAGCCTTTTGTTTCTAAGAAAGTCTGACCAAGTCCACTCACTATAAATTTTTAAGTAAAAAAGTATTAATAATATGGCAGCAAGGAAAATTCTAAATTGTGTTAGCATTTCAAGAGTTTACCTAGTGATGTCAAAGCCTAACGTTCATTTTCCAGGAGGATTCAGGAATCTAATTCTCACTGCTTAGTGTGAGAAGTTGGCCACTGGCATGTAAGTCACGTGCCACAGTGACAAGAAGGCTGTTTTGAAAACCACTCTGCCTAATCTACTTACTAGCTCAGTTTTCATGACCACATATGAAAGAGCAAGGGAGCTGACAGCAAAGAATTTTAGTGTTTTAACATTAACATTTAATATTAACACAGGGTGTGTGCTACAGGCATAGTTTGGAATAAACCATAATACATGTGAATAAGGAGATGGGCTTCAACTGTACCATAGCAATCACAGAGCTGATATGTTACATGTGTCTTACTGTAAAATTCAAGCAGAATGTCTCTTCTACATCTTCCCCAGGGTAATCTAAAAGTTGCTGAAGACTCCTACATGACAGGTAGGGCAAGAAATGAGATTAAAAAAAAAAAAAAAGAGATTCAAAAAGCCATACAAGTAAAGGGAAAAAGAAATTCAGCAAAAGTAAACAGCATCATAGATCTGGGCAATAGGACTACAAGAGAGAGAATCTCTCAGTCATCTGAAGGGGTAAGAAATTCATCTCAAATAAAGAGATGCTTTGTAGAAGTAGGATAAATGCCAGTCCACAAAAATTATCAATATAGTCCATACCTACCTAGTACATGGATCCCCTTTAATGGTCCTGGCCTTAGAACAGAATTACTTTTCTAGTTTTTAAGGAGTGATAGATATTCATGCCATCACCACACAGAGGTCTGAGGGAGTGGAGAAGAGCAGGTGGTGGATTAGATCTGTATCCCCATGATGTAGAAAATACTCTTCTCCTATCCCTCAAAATCCTACTGCTGTTTTCCTGGCATTTTACCTCATTATTGTTAAATAAAGCTGTAGCTTTGTGCAGATAAATCAGACTGCAAGTCAGAAGAAAAAAGAAGACAGCAGTCAGGCAGTGGGATCTTAACCTCCCAGTGTCAGAGGGAACCAATATCCCCCCATGCAATTAGGCAGGAAAGATTCAATAGGGAGTTTAGAAAAAGTCATTCCTTCACTCCATTCAACTCCCTTCTTTCTGGCATGAGAGCAGGTCAGAGTTACACTGGTTCAGGGATGGGACAGTTCACATCCTACACACAGTTCCCATTCTGGGCTGCATCATGAGACACGCAGCGCATCTGCTTGCTAACCCAAGCCTGGCTTGGGAGGAAAGGCTGAGGCTAGGATCTGGGATCGTGCATGGAATCACACAGTGGAGGGACAGGCCCCCAACCCCCTGCTCTCAAAGGAGTGTGGTAGGTGTGTTTTGGTTGTGTTGATACCCAGTTTCTGGGGGCTGGGAAGGTGAGTACAGAGGTTAGAGCCTAAGCAGATGGCTTTGATAGCCTGTGGGACAGGAGAAGTCTCACATGAAATTTATCACCAGCTTATGTAGTTCGCTAGGATCAAAGCCCCTCAAATTTATCGGTCACTCAAAAGGATCAGGCAGTGTTTTAACAAACAGCTTCTACCCAGTTTGGCATTTCTTGCTCTCAGGTGGTCTCCCTTCCCAGAAAGGCTGCAAATTTTGTTTTTCATACCTTCCTTCTGTAGGGGACAGCTCCTTCAAATCCTCTAGGCAGGGCTTCACATTCAAGAGCTTTTTGTACAGAGCCAAGGGAAAGTGAAGGTCTACCACTGTGAAGTTGTATATTGCAAGACCACATATGATGCCGATCAAGTGAAACCAGTTGTGTTCTACAAAACACTGCAAAACCACACAGAGAAATCCTGATGAGACACACTGCCACAGGTGCGATGCACAGACAGTAACCTTTCTCCCATGCACTAAGAAGCCAGCCCCTGTTTTTCCAACCAGGACAAAATCAGAGAGCTCCCATCAGGTCCCAGTTCGGTTGTGAATTCCTTGCTGGAGTGTGCCACAGAAATAAAGATTCAGACACCAAGCCCTATTTTTTTTTTTGTAAGCCATGATTAGCTGTGGAAACAGCAACAGCTGCTTTCCATCTTACCTGTCTTTTATTTCCTTTTTCCATACCTCTGTGACATTAACAGAGCTTTGACATTTGCTGTTCACTGCAAGAAAACACGTTAACAATTCTCTCCCTCTCACCCATCCCATTTTCTATTAAGAGCTGATGCATAATCACATTTGCCACCCTGGCAAATATACCAACATAGGTGCTGGCATCCTGCTCTTCATTCCTTCGCATATTTACTCTCACACTGGTAGGTCAGTCACAGACTGGCTGCCTATATTTGTTAAATATTGTAAATACATGACTCATATTTTCAGTGCTTACACTGTCACTATTCTTAGTATCAAAAGACTTGTTGTTTTTATAACATTAACAAGAGGAGCAATTGCTCTGTAATACTGTTTACAAGTTACAAAAGGTGCCATGTATTATCTTTCCTTGTAAAATGTAGTTAATAAATTAAAAGAACCCCCACCAGGGCACCTACACCTTAAGGGAAGGCTGACAACATCATTTTCCATCTTGATACCTAGACAGGTGAATTTAAAAGAACATAAACCACCCCCTCCAGCATAACGCTATCGGACAGGCCTGTGCATGTGGTGTACTCAGACTTTATTAAAGCCTTTGACACCATTTCACACAGCATTCTCCTGGAGAAACTGGCCACCCATGGCTTGGATGGATGTGCTCTTTGCTGGGTAAAGAACTGGCTGAAGGGCCGGGCCCAGAGACTTGTGGTGAATGGAGTTAAATCCAGCTGGAGGCCGGTCACAAGTGGTGTTCCCCAGGGCTCAGTGTTGGGGCCAGTTCTGTTTAACACCTTTATCGATGATCTGTATGAGGTGATTGAGTGCACCCTCAGTAAGTTTGCAGATGACACCAGTTTGGGTGGCAGCATTGATCTGCTTGAGGGTAGGAAGGCTCTGCAGAGGGACCTGGACAGGCTGGATTGATGGGCTGAGGCCAAGGGTATGAAGTTCAATAAGGTCAAGTGCTGGGTCCTGCACTTGGGTCACAACAACCCCATGCAGCGCTATAGGTTTGGGGAGGAGTGGCTGGAGAGCTGCCCGGCAGAAAAGGACCTGGGGGTGTTGGTTGACAGCAGGTGAACATAAGGCAGCACTGTGCCCAGGTGGCCAAGAAGATCAATGGCATCCTGGCTTGGATCAAAAACAGCGTGGCCAGCACGATTAGGGAAGTGATCCTCCCCCTGTGCTCAGCTTTGGTGAGGCCACACCTCGAGTACTGTGTTCAGTTTTGAGCCACTCACTACAGGAAAGACGCTGAGGTGCTTGAGCAGGTCCAAAGGAGAACAACAAGGCTGGTGAAGGGCTTGGAGAACAAGTCTTATGAGGAGCGGCCAAGGGAGCTCAGGTTGTTGAGCCTGGAGAAGAGGCTGAGGGGAGACCTTATCACTCTCTACAACTAGCTGAAAGGAGGATGTAGAGAGGTGGGAGTTGGTCTCTTCTCCCAGGTAACAAGCGACAGAATGAGAAGAAATGGCCTCAAGCTGCACCAGGGGAGGTTTAGGTTGGATATTAGGAAAAACTTCACTGAAAGGGTTGTCAAGCACTGGAACAGGCTGCCCAGGGAAGTGGTGGAGTCACCTTCCCTAAGGGGATTTAAAAGACGGGTAGACAGGGGCTTAGGGAAATG